GATTTTATGCAATACTTCTTATCCACTAAATGTTTCACAGAACCAGTTAAAAAGTGCTTCATGGTTTCTCAAATGGCAACAGGTTTACAAAACTAACTTAGTTTGGCAATATGACATTCAGACTACTCCCTAACTGATATTTATATACAAATAAAATAAAATATACTGATATTCATCAGCAGGGGCTGCTGTGCATGTGTTTTGTCAAATTAATTTTGGATTGTTTATAAATCGTGCAGTAAAGATCTTTGAAACTGTTTATTTTCATTTAGAATTCCAATGTATTTGTTTCCCTGGTACAATATAGTAGATAAACAGCAAAACCAATCTATACTGATTTTGGCCAGATTTGTAGCTTTAATCTATTTTATACAAACTCAGTTCCAAGGTGTTGGGTGCTGTGTAAAATGTAAATAAAAGAACATAATGCACATGTCTGCATATATTATTCGCTATAGAACACGGAAAAGGAGATCAAGTGTTTAAACTGGAGAAAATGTACCATTTTAAGAACATTTTAGCTCATTTGGAATTTCAGAGTAGCAACATGTCTCAAACTTGGGACAGGATCATTTTTAGTGCTGTGTAGAACTTATTCTCTTAACAACAGTCTGTCTGGGAACTGAGGAGACATGTTACTATATATACCTTGATACAGAATTCTAGCTGCTCAACATCTAGAATTTTTTTGTTTCATGATATTTCAAATGTTCTCGGTTGGTGAAAAATCAGAATTGCAGTCAGGCCAATTCAACACCCAGAATTTTTTTTACAACAAATCTATGTTGCTGTAATAGATGCAGTAAGCTCTTTAGTATTGTTTTTCTGAAATATGCAACAAAAACAACATTCAGGTGGGAGCATTTGTTTTTCTAAAACCTGTACCTTTCAGCTTTGATGCCCTTTTGGATGTGCAAGCTGCCAGTTCCAGGTACTGGTGCACCACCATATCATCTGAGATGCAGGCTTTTCAACTGAGCTCTAATAACAAGCCAGATTGTCCATCTCCTCTTTTGTCTGGAGGACGAGGTGTTATTTGTTTGGCTAAAACAATTGAAAATTTTTCTGTGGGCCTGAAAATCATAGACATTAAATATTGATTTTTGCCCTTGTCTCTTATGCAAACACATTTCTTCAAATTCTGGGAATTGTTTGATATTATGTACTGCAGGTGATGAGATATTCACAGTCTTCACAATTTTACATTGAAAAAGATTATTCTCAAAATATTCCACAATTTTCAGATTCAGCTTTTTGCAGAAAGGCAAACCACTGCCCATCTGTTCTGAGGTGCTCTTTTTATACTCAGTCATGTTACTGAGATATTGCAAGTTACCAAAATCAGTTGCAAACATTTTGCAACATTTGACTTAAAATTGTAAATTTTCTCAGTTTAAACATTTGATTTTTTTCTGTGTTCTATTGTAAATAAAATATGGGTTTGTAGGATTTGAAAATCATTGTTTTCTGTTTTTATTCACATTTTACAGGGTTGGGTTTTTGTTTTTGTTTTTTTCAAATTGAGTTTGTTCTTTATTTTTATATATACAACTTCTGTATTAGCGTTGATGTTTATTTATCAGTCAGTCAATCAAAAAAATAAAATGATGAAATCTTTGCCCCAATCCAAATACCTGCTTAGCACCTTACTAAACATTTCCTGTTCAAAATAAAACTTCCCCTTACACAAACATAAACATTTTTGGACTCCGTTTACATGGCCAGACCTTTATTTTCGGGTGGTGTATGGGGAAAGATTCAAATGCTGCCCTCTGCTGTGCGAACGTTAAATGGGTCGTAATGCTCACTTCAAAACCGTGCGTGCCGAATAAAATA